AGTCACAGTATAGGCAAGCACTTTCATGTAAATTCCCATGAAACTTTTCAAGCCGGATGCATAACCATTTCTTCACACTCCTCTATCACTAAAAGTAATCTTTAAAAAAATTGTCATAATTTTATTGAGGGTATCAGTTAAATTTTCCAACCTGAAATGTACTTGTTTTACTAATACATTTCCATTGAGTTCAGGGAACACAACTACAGAGTACATTAAAATGTGACCTTTGAACCTCGCAGTGTAACACATCACTTCCTGGGCAGAGATAGTACTCCAAGAACAATCAATCACTGTTAAGAAGAATATACACTCAACATTGTTAATTAGTGTTGATGCACTCTTCTCGATGCCCTCATCTGTCATGAAGATTGTTTAAAAATCTGAGTTATTAGTCTTTATTTGGGAAAGGATCTGGTTAATATCTTTAAGAGCAGAAATCATTCATCTATCCACTCTATCTTGGAGCGTGATAATTCCTACCCCCAATACAAGTTACTGATAACCACCACCCCTCCACTGACTAAGAAACTATAAATCAGGAAGAGGGCAGCTTCTATGCAACCCCTGTTAATTTCTGTTTACAATCTATCCAACCGAGAATGTTAGCTAGTCAGGGGAGAAACTAGCTGATGGATCAGATAGTAGGAAAACATAACAGCTTAAAGATAGAAAATAACAAAATGACAAATTAAAATGCCATGTGCTTATAACAACATGGATTGAATTTAAAATTAATTCAAAAAAAATGAATATTCCTGAATGTTCATTTAATTTCAATGTGAACCTTCCCTGAAACACTGAAAGAAACATGAAAACTGTTACTTCAATGCAGATGGTTTTTGAAATTAAACAAAAAAATTAAAAATAAATAAAAAGTCAAAAGTGTAGGTTTTCTATCATTACATAAAGGTCACTTTAGGAAAAAGCAAAATTCTTAATTCTTTTGTATTTATTTAACCTAAAATCATGATATAAAATCTATGACATTTTATCTTGAACATAATCCAGCATAATATAACTTCAGAATATTTCCTAAGAAACTCTCTGACATTATTCACCAAAGTGGAATTCAGTAGGCCAGCCGGGCCTGAAGGCCATCTAATAGATTCCCTGTATCTACGTATGTGTTTTTCCTCATTAAGAAAACCATTTGCCCTTAATAACACATCCCAGGCCATAAACACTTCTAATTCCAACAGAGGCTTCATGAAAAGGCTTTTATTCATTCATTCAGTATTCATTCATTCAGGCACTATTCTAAGCGATGAGGTCCCTATGCTTCATTGAGCTTAGATTTTAGCAGGGAAAGACAGACAGGAAACAAACAAGAAACATCAGGTGGCACTGAGGTGACACAGAGAAGTGAGACAGAATGTCCTGAGAAAAAGGGACTACATGGCTCGTTTACACTGAGTGGTCAAGAAAAGCAACTCTGAGGAGATGACACCTAAGATGTGATCCAAATGATAAAATGGAGCCAATCAAGTAAAGACCAGAAGAGAAAAGTATTTCAAGCAGAAGAAACCCTATGATACAAATTAACTTGGAATGTTAAAGTAGAGGAAAAAATACAAGTGTGTCTTAGCACAGAGTGGGCAAGGGAACACACAGACGAAGTCTAAGAGGCAGGTAGGAGCCAGATCACCTAGTGTCTGGTAAACCTGGATGAAGAGTTTAGGTTTCATTTTAGGTGTGATGAGAAAGCACTAGAAGAGGCATACCATGATTTGCCATTAGAGAACTGGATAGTACGAGAGCAAAGCTAGAAGCAGGAGGGACAGTTAGGAAGCTACTGCAGTATTTGTGTGAGAGGTGATGGTGCAGTGTTAGGCCATGGCCAGGTGCACCTGTAATAAGCCCATAAAGCAGACATGAATGGAAAACCCCCAGGTTCTGCAGTGTATAGGCTCTGGTCAAGTGGGAGACCAAGACTTTCAAAACCAGGAAACCAGGTATCAGACCTGGTAAAGATGGCTCTGTGAATTGCAGAAATTGCCTTTAGATGGTAATACAATTGTTTCCAGGTGCCTATCAGTCATCTCCCCCCACATCGGGCTACAGACACGATCAAACTTCAACAGAGAACTTCTGTAAAATACACAGAATAAACAGTTGACTTACCCTCTTTCCCATTTTGGAAAAGACCTAGCAGGAATTTATATTTACCTTGCTAGGAAAAAGTAGGGCCTTCCATGAAGATTTGGACATAATTGTATTTATTAATCCCAACAACCAAACAGAGCAAAAGAAAGGCAGTCAAGTTTTTAGAAAACTTGAAGTCAGCTTAAAAAAAAAAAAGAAAGAAAAAAGAAAAAAAAAAAAAAAACAACCTCAAAAAACTAAGAGTAAGGTTAACAGGCCCTTTCACTACTTAAAAGCACTCTAGCTGAAACTTTGTGCAAATTAACAATGACTAACTGAATACACATAAATGGCACTCAAGAGTGTTTGCTGAACCGAATCGCCCTACCCATCTTATGGTACAAGAAGTATCAATCTAAAAAAAAAAAAAAAAAAAAAAAAAAAAGGAGGGGGGGCGCCTGGGTGGCTCAATCGGTTAAGCATCAGACTCTTAATTTTGGCTCAGGTCATGATCTCACGGTTCGTGAGTTCAAGTTCCACGTCGGGCTCTGCACTTTCAGTGCAGAGTGCTGGGGATTCTCTCTCTGCCCCCACCCCATTTGCCTCTCTTTCTTAAAATACATAAACTTAAAAAAAAATTTTTTTAAGAAATAAATGAGGCATAAGATAGTGACAAAGGAATTCTCTAGGAACCATTTCCTCCAGGCCACTTTTGTAAGATGTCTGTTTCAGCTGTACTAATTTGTAATTTGTGATCACTCAAATTGAAGCTATAGTCAGTGTTTTTTAAAGGCTATTATGATTAATAATAATGATGATAATAGTTACTGAGCATTTACAGTATACAGACCTCATGCTAAGCACTTGCCATGTAAATCTCACTTAATCTTTAACCTTATCAGACAGAAACTACTATCTTTACCTGCAGATGAGGAAACTGAGGTATAAAGATATAAAGTAACCTATCTGATGTCACACTGCTGTTAAGTGAAAAAACCTGGCCTTGTAAAAGCAGTCTCTAAATTCAAAGTCCTATGATCTTAACCATGACTCAATACTTCATTTAAAGTCTTCTATACTACAAAAAAAAATCACTAACTAGTGTCTTACAGCCTTTCAGAATATGGAAAAATAAACTTGTTTTAAGTATTATACACTGAAATAGTTTAGTCATTACTAATTCTATTTCATTAAAGCAAATCTCTTCCTCTACTGGCTACTTCATTAACCTACTCTAGTTACTCTTTATATTTAAACATAATAAAACACAATTTTTAGTAAAAATAAACCTGTAATTCATCCTTACCTAAGAGTATCCTCAATCTTCAGTCCAAATTTCTGTTTACTATATTTTCATAAAAACACAAACAATTTTAGGGGCGCCTGGGTGGCTCAGTCGGTTAATCGTCCGACTTCAGCTCAGGTCATGATCTCAGGGTCCATGAGTTTGAGCCTCACATCGAGCCCTGCGCTGACAGCTCAGAGCCTGGAGCCTGCTTCAGATTCTGTGTTTCTGTCTGTCTGTCTGTCTCTCTCAAAAATAAACAAACATTAAAAGAAAGGAAGGAAGGAAGGAAGGAAGGAAGGAAGGAAGGAAGGAAGGAAGGAAGGAAGGAAGGATGGGTCTCCTAAAATGAAAAGCTGCACTCAGAAATAGAAGGTAAGGTCACCAAAACTTATGATTTCTAAAGGGGAATTTCAATGAATTGAAAAGCATCAGATTCACTCAATTAGAATTATTTACGGAACAGAAAAGTAAAATTCACCTAAAACTTAAAAAAAAACTGTACCCAAGGCATCCATTTCATGATATGTAATACTATTTTTCTAGACACTATTATAAAATTTGTATTTTTAACTCTTCAGAGAAATGATATCCACACCTGTTTTGTAATGGTTTTAAAGTAAGGCTTGGATTTATTAAATGTTCATCTAAGTGTGCAAAACCACATAATGAAGAAATCTTGGTTTAGTCCTTCAGGAAGTACTATTTCCTAAATAATTACAGACCAAAAAAACGCACTATACTTTTAAAGACCTTTGGAGAAGATAATTCTCTTGGTAGTATACTTGGGTATTGGTTTAACAACGCTTGTAGTCAGGAAACTCTTCCTGACCTAAATCCTCCATGGTATAATTTAAATTCATTTTCTCTTTTTGTGACCTCAAATAGTTGTAGAAGATTAGGTCATATTATAATATTTTATATATTTAAAAACCCTTATTAAGGTCTCCTTTTCCAGGTAACTGCACTGCAGGACTATGAACCAACAGTCCTGTACAAAATTCAGCCTTATAATTTTATATGCTGTATATAATAGCCCAGCTGACAGATCTCAAAAATTATCCACCCTTTTCACCACGCACGACTCCTCCCCCAATACACTCTTTCTCAAAAAACAAAACAACACAAGAAATTATCTGTACTTTAGAACTAATCTCAAAATTTAGAGAGACGTTTGCGAGAAACAGGAGCAAGGAACCACACACCCAAAACTCCACCCGACGCTGCTCTCTTCCCTACAACGGGCGATCATTTAATGAAATCTCTCTCTCAAAATCTCTGGGGCAGAGCTGAAGCTGCAGTGCAATATCATAAAATCTGCAGCTGTGTTGCTGTTCTTAATAGTCCGTGCTGCTTCCTTAGACCACAGGAAGCCAAAACACACACTGTCAGAACAGAACTTACCTTAACGGGAATCGGCCAAAGCAGCAGGGCAGTGAGATCAAGCATCAGAACTGTCACTGAAAAGATCGTATACATCCATGCAAACTTTCTCTTCAAGCAATTTACTTACTCCAGGAAAGCTGTATCTTTTATGTTTCTACACATCAAAATTTGTTTAGACTAAATAAATTTGTAAAGACTAAAGGATAGGCAGATAACGATACAGAAAGAAGCATTAATGACTTACTTTTATTGCCCACCAAGGCAACCAGCGGCTGAGTCTCTGACTCCTCGCTCACTTTCTTCACCACAGAATACCAATCTTCTAAATTCTCAAAGCTTTGATAATTTGTAATATCATATACCAACAGGATTCCCTGTCACAAAAGAGTTACAGAACTTTTTGTAAGATACCTGGCATAGATGTGGTGAGCTACCACAAATACGAAAAAATCCTATCATGGGTGAAAAGGCTGCAAAGGTCTACAATCCTGCCTGTTACTTTCATGAGGTCAAACATGTAAACCTTCCAGTAAATAACCATCTGCTGCTGCTCTTTCTAAATATTTTCAAAAATGAGATTCCATGACATCCCTTGATAGTCAATTTTAGTGTTTAACACAATTTTCTTTAAATGAAGTAAGTCGATTTCCTCTTTTGGTCCTCTGTGCATTTGGAGAACAACACTGGGGTATCCTCCTTGTAATAACCCTTCATGTACTTGAAGATAGTTAAGTGACTCCTTTACCATCTCCTTTCCAGAATAAACAAACTCAATTCCTTAAACTTGCCTCAAAGGACCTATTTTCTATCCCTTTAATCATAGTTGTTGGGTTCTTCCCAGGACACACTACATACAGTTTTTTGACATCCTCTTTAAAATGAGCAATGTAAAACTGGACATGATACTGTAATAAGAGCCTGAACAAAGCCAAATATAACAAAGGGATTGCTTCCTGCCTCTTATATATCATATTCCTTTTAATATATCCCATTATTTTGTGTGGGAAGGAGAAGTATGTACACACACAAAAATAACAGTGCCACATTCTTGATTCTCATCCAGTTCGTGGTCAAACACTTAATACAAAGCTCTGCATATAGTCTAAGTCTGGACCCTAATAGCATTTACGTCTCCTCCTTCTTAGGATATAATCACAAACGTTTACTACATTTTTGTACCTACTATCCATCTAGATGTATATTTAGATCTTTTCATCAGTCCTTACAATAATCATCTAATGCTGCTAACCCTCATTCTCATTTTACTAATAAGGAGAGGCTACAATAACGAAGGTCAACCATACTTAGGTCACATACCACTACCACTAGGGTAGGTGAGGAAGCCAGATCTGAATCAAGGGCTGTGTGAATATAAAGTCTACTCATGCATTCTATAAGCATTTGTCTGCCAACTATATGCCAAGCATTGTGCTGGGTCCTAAGGATATAAATTCCAAACCTCAAGAAACTCAGTCTTGCAGCCAGGCACATAAACAGACAAGTATAGAACACAAAAGTAATGACCAGTGATATGCTGGTAAATATTAATAAACTGGCTAGCGCCGTGGTGGGGGTCGGGAAGGGTAGAGTGTTATTTGTCTCATTTTCCTATTTCTGTGGTATAAATACTCCCCTGTGGTCATTTTCAAGCTATCAATGTCGCTTCACTCAACAAAGCTGGGTAGGACATCGCCAGATTGCATCTGAACCATACAGGTACATTAGACATCAATAATTTCAAGAACATACTTAAGAAAATATCTGGTAAAATGATTAGTAAGTGATGAATTTTGAGCATATATCTTCGTTTTTAATATAATTGATGAGTTTATGTATTTTTAATCATGAATGTATTTAACGACTGGCTCACAAAAATTCCCGAAAATTTAACAACTGCCTTTCTCAGGCCAAAGAATAGCATACTACTATTATAACCTTCTAGGACCATGTTCTTTTATTAAATTACACTGGCCCCTAAGTCACTTAGCTCCTCTGGGTCTCAGGTTGTTTGCCTCTAAAATTAGATCACTGAAAGTAAATGGTCTCTAACATCCCTTCCAGTTTAAATATTCTATAATTTTTATGCAAAATCACTTGTCTGATTCATTTTGGTAGCTTAGACACTTCTTTCTGTCTTCCTAAATGCTTTGAAATAATGCCCAGCAATAGAATTATTTGAAATAATCAGCACAAGCCCACTTTTCTTATTAAGAATAACGCCCCAGAACTGGCCTCTGAAGAAAACTAATCTTCAGTACTCATTTTGGCAGCACGTATAGAGAGGAAGAGAGGAAGAGAGGAAGAAAGGAAGCTAATCTTCAAACGACTGACTCCACCTTCAGTTGACTCGAATGACACCACATATTGTGTTGAAGGAGCTCTGCCCTGAAAGTCAGATCGCCGCTGGACTGCAGTCTTGGCCTGGCCCTACCATCCACTGATCTTGAGCAATGCTTCTGTAATCTACCTTGATGATAGCTGCCATGTCTAAGCGATTATGGGAAGTAACAAAAAGATTTATTTAAAAACTAACATACTACATAACTACTGGGAATTTTTATTATTCTGTGTGAGTAAGAATCACATTTTCAAGGCAACTCTGTGATAGTTTTTATAACTCATAGATTGAGCTGCTGACCCACGATGACTCTTAAACCTTAAGATGTTTGGAATCCTTCTAAATCAATATGTGAAAATCTTCATCTCAACATGGGCCAGTACGTGCATATGATGCAAATAAAACATGGCCACAATCCCTTAATGATCAGTACTAGACCAGAGCTTAGAATAAAAACTAAACACTAAGCTTAGAATAGGTATCTATTATATACCAGAAGTCAGTGAACTATGGTCCCCAAGCCAAACTCAGTTCAAAGCCCATATATGTGAATAAGCTTTTATTGAAATATAGTCATACTTACCTGGTTAAGTATTATCAAGGGCTGCTTCTGTACAACTGGAGAGTTGAGTGGCTGCAACAGAGCCAGTACGGCCTGTGACACCTAAAATATTTCCTGTCTGGCTCTCTAAGGAAAAGCTGGCCAATTCCAGAGCTAAACCAGTGTGTGTCAGTATTTTTCAGAGATCAATAAGTATGAATCTTCCAGAAGTCATGAGAAAGGCAAAAGGTTAAATGCCTTTCATTAATCTAGCTATCCACAAACCAAACGTCATATACCCCATTCTCAATACCACTTAATGTAAAAACTATGATTCCATCTTTGCTCCTAATATGGCAATTTTTCATCAGTTCTAACCTATACCAATGTGGTCAAAATCCAAAAAGGGAAATGGGAAAACCAAAAAGACATCAAAACACAAAAAAGTTCTAGAACTGTCAGCTTCAATTCTGACACGTAAAGACCCAAGAAGTCATCATGTCTGTCTTTACAGTAAGAAAAAATCTAAACAAACAAAATCAATGATTCTTCTGGACAAAACAGAGAGCTGAGTTTGCAGGGTAAATCGCCACCCTGAAATCTGGGGAGACAGGTGAATCCAAAGAGTCACAGCCCAAATATGCTAACCTGGCACAGAAGCCACCATAGCCAGGAAACGGTGGGAACATTTAAATAGTAATTTTGATAAACTGGTGGAGGCTGCCTGTGTTCCACTGTGAGAATGAACAACTACCAGGCGACACAGTCTGTGGGGGTACCCCCACACTTTCATGGATTTTACCTCCAGAAACCCTACCACATCCTCTCGGTAGAATCAAGAAAGATCCCCACATGGCTCTGACATGGGGAGGGAGAAATTACCACTGTAAATATGCCCAGAGTATTAGCCATAAAAAAGGCATACTGTCCAGGAATAAAGCTTAATGAGTGTCTTATATCACATGGGGGTAGGACAAGTTCCCATCTCTAGCTCCTTCTAGCCATCCTGTGTCTCCTAAGTGGGAAGAGCTAATAAATACCTGTGAAGGTCACAGCCCAGGGACACAGGCCCACCATAAGGCTATGACTTAGTCATAAGAGCACAGAATGAGAGAATTCCCTCCCCCTCCCTACACTTCACCACGACACCAACTGGGCTCCAGCATAATAGTAGTATACTACATTTGAAAGAGCTGCAAAACATAAACTTCAACTGAGGAAGAGTGCTTTGAGATGTCTAAAAAGACAGGGGAGAAAAAAAACAAGGACACTAGAGGAATTTGACGTCTCTGGAACCTAGAGCCTCAGCAAACATTAACCACAGACCAACTCCTGGCCAATTAACATAAAGCTCCACACTAAAGGCTTATTTACCTGAGTTCTTATCTAGCCTTCAACAGAAAACTAGAAGGCACATTAAAAGGCACTTTGAAGAGAAAAAGTAAGCCTTAGAATATGAGTAAGACTCAAATATGATACAGATTTTGGAATGATCAGATGATGACTTTAATAAAACAACAATGATAGGGGCGCCTGGGTGGCGCAGTCGGTTAGGCGTCCGACTTCAGCCAGGTCACGATCTCGCGGTCCGTGAGTTCGAGCCCCGCATCGGGCTCTGGGCTGATGGCTCAGAGCCTGGAGCCTGTTTCCAATTCTGTGTCTCCCTCTCTCTCTGCCCCTCCCCCGTTCATGCTCTGTCTCTCTCTCTGTCCCAAAAATAAATAAAAAAACATTGAAAAAAAAATTTTTAAAAAAAATAAAATAAAATAAAACAACAATGATAAATATTTTAAAGGTTCTAGTACAAAAGGTAGACAACACGCAAGAACAGGTAGATAAGGTACACAAAGAGATGGAAACACTAAAGGATAACAAAAAGAAAATGCTAGCTATCAAAAACACTGTAACAGAAATGAAGAATGCCACTGATGGATCTCATCAGTAGACTAGACATAGCCTAGGAAAGAATCCATGAGCCTGAAGATAAGCTAATAGAAATTTCCAAAACTGAAATGCAAAGAGAAAAAAGAATGAATAAAACAGAACATTAAAAAACAATGTGACAATTCTGATTTGTGTATCATACATATAACTGAAACACCAGAAAAGAGAACAGAGCTTAAGAAATATTTGAAGTAATAATGGCCAAGAAATTGCCAAAATCAATTAAAGACACCACACCATTGATGTAGAAATCTCAGAAAACACCAAGTAGGATAAATACCCAAAAAATCTACATGTAGGCACAGCATACATCCAAACTGTGTAAAACAAAACACAAAGAGAAAATCTTGAAAGAAGTCTAGGGGTTGGGAAGGGGTGGTGAAAGGGAATATGTTATCTACTGAGGAACAAGGATAAGAACTACAGTGAATTTCTTATCAGAAACCATATAAGAAAAGAATGGGGTGAAATATTTAAAGTGTTGAAAGAAAGGAAAAGACCAATCTAGAATTCTATATGTAAAATTATCCTTTATAAGTGGGGGAGAAATA